AGAAATGAAGAAGTACACAAATTTAACCCATTGACTTGAGCACCTATGCAATTATTGAAAGGCATATTCATGGTGATTGATGCCCCTGGTAATCCTGTTTTTGACAAATTCAGTTTTATCAAATTGAAATTGATATGCTGGCCATTAATGTTTGAAGTGTACATTTTCCAAAACTATATGATTTGGAGCAGCAGTGGCGATGTAATTATTTTCTTTCTGTCTAGTCCGTACTTCGATACATCATGGTGTGAAGGTATGACGTGACTGCTATTGTTTGCAACGCACATCAGTTTTGCATATACATTTTGTATAAGTTTATGACCGACACATTGGCAAAAGCTACACTTTCTAAAATTAAAAATAATTTTTAGTTCACACATAACTGTTTCTCTGTTTACAAGTTCGATTTCGGATGAACGGTGAGACAGTAAAGTTGGCGTGTGCTGTCGCCTCGCAGCCCTGCTGTCATACTCACTTTGTGTGTACGTTTACATGTACATGCGAGTTAAGCACGACACAGATTCACGATTCAGAAACGAAACGACAGGGGGATATCCAGCCGTGGGCGGGGCGGGCGAGGGGGGCAAACCAACTGATTTTCTTTTGTTAACAAAAAACTTCAGAGGAAAGAAAGTTATCGATTATATCTATTCATCAAATTTTAGCACCGGAACCCTTAGAAAACAACACCATGAAATAAGGATGTCGGGACCGTAAGGCTTTAAATTTTTCCCAATTCCATGTTGAATGTGCCCGAAGCCGCACTCACCTGTGAATTTACCCCCCCACACACACACACACACACCAAGAGCTGGATACGCCGCTGCGAAATGGACCAGAAAGGGTAGATCCAGTTCAAAATTTTCGAGGGAATTGTTTTCGGGGCTAGCTAAGTTCATTAAGCCTTTTATAGCCTTCCAGAACGGTGAGACTGAGCTAAAATTTTAGGCCTTTCCCTATTTTTTAATGAAAATATCACCTCCTTTTCTGGGGACATAGCCCCTGCTGGTCCACAGATCCGCCCTTGAAGTATTTTGAAAAACGGCCTTAGTTGTTGTTTGTGTACGTGTAAATTTGTGTATAATAAATTGCGTATTTGTTTCATTTCCCTGTAGTCCAAAATCGTGTAGAAAGTCAAAAAAATATCCTCATCCTAATAGAAAGGCCATAAAAGGTTACATGTAGAAATTTCCAAACTGTTTGCTTGGGAAAGTATTTTATTAATTAAGTATTTTGTATTATTTATCACCGATATTTTAGTAGCTGAATGGGATCGTTTTAATACTTCGGGATTCATCCTTTGTACTCCATGGTTGACCAGTTGTGGTTGGGAAGGGATTTTCAATACGAGCACTAACCTTCAGTTGTAGGAGATAGTTAGGGTTCTGTATCAGCCACCTTCTGTCAAACTTACAAACACAGTGGACTGCAACTGTCTTTGGTGGCGCTGTTTATATTCGATGGTAATAGCCACTGGCAAGCTCGACCAACGTCGCTCGAACGATGGTAGGTTTGGACCACCAGGTCGACCAGTTGGTATCAGACCCAAAGGCATGGTTACACCGCTGGTTACCAATATCCGAATTAATTTACCAGCACAGAGGGAACCATTCACGTGATGATGATTTTACTAGATTTTATTGGCCATGAATGGTGACACTGCTGCAGCCAACAGCAAAACGAGAGTGACGATGAGATTTTACAAAAATCAGGGGAATGGAACCATGTGCCACTGAGAAACATTGTAAGCAGTAAACACGATACTCTGTATTCATTCAAACCCAAGAAGTGCACAAATTAGACGTTTGAAGTCCAATCCGAGTACAGCCACCAAGGACTCTTCACAGGATTAGTCAAGGTGCCCGTCAGCGGTCTTTTTTAAGAATGGCGAGGCCAACAGGAGCGATTCTGAGCGTCACATGGGAAGGTTGCTTCGTACAGCAGGCCACGTGACATATCTTGCTTCTTTCAGTCATTATTGGAGTGTGTTCGCCGATCTCGTGCCGGAGTAATAAGTCTAAAAAATATTGTCATTTTTTTGTATTTTGGGTGATTTTGGAGAAAAAGCCTTGCCAGCACATAGATATTCCAGTCGATTCCCTCAAGCCAACTGTTTATTATTTTGATTAAAAAAAAGAAAAAATGAGATGTAGATTAAAGGTTTCTGCCAGTACTGCTGTAATTGGAACCTGATAAAATTTCTTTTCTCATTAAACCAGATTTGCAATGTACATGTACCACCGAGAACAATTCAAAAGTGCTTTTGTGCCTGAAGTGGGATTAAATAAATTCTGAGTTAGTGTTAAACACGTTCATCAAATTCTTCTTGTGCTTTTCTAGAACGGTCGTCACTGTTATCGTCTAAATAAAAGTTATACAGCTTTATATGATATTTATTATCCATGGCGTCGTAAGACGATTCACTGCCGGTATTAATAGATTCCTTCACCATTTATTGACGTTCTTTTATGCATCACTAAAGGTTATTTTTAGTAATAGATATGTGAATTAACCATCATGTTAAATGCTCCTTTAACACACTAACTAACTTAATATAAAAGCACATACAGTGTAGAAATGTTCTTCGTGGGCAATCTTGGGCTTGGGTAGTCTGATATACTCGGTGTCTGTTTGGTTCCGTTGCACCCGGCAAATGTAATTCGAAAACCCCAGCTGTCTTTTAGCATTACAAAACTCCACTGCCAAACCAAATTCGCGTTGTAAGCAGAACACGGAGCTGTAGTCTCAGCGTTGCACGTTATTTTGGTTCTGTTTAATTAGTACTTCTGCCTCGTGCAACCCGATGAATTGTCGCCTTTCGTGAAACAAGTTTTTAGATTTCATGAACGAGTACATATAGCGTTCATTTTTTTCTACAAAAATTGCGTCCAAATGGTGAATAAAGCATATTCTGAGTAACACATAGGCCTATATATCAAGATAATTGACATTTCAATTAGTTATTCGGTCATCTTT